ATTTTACATTATCGACATCATAACTGGATTACTTCAAACCTAAGGACTGGGAGATTTTCTCACTTTTATTTTTACCTTACTTTTCTTCACCTCCAAGTTGAACTAGGGCAAAATGCCCCCGTCCGACCCCAAGGACATTAGCAGTATTCTACAACGACTTCAGTTTTTAGAAACGAAGATTCAACGGCTGGAGGTGAACTTTGAGATCAACGCTACCTGTGGAAATGAAACAACTCTTCCTCAAACCAGCGGAGAGGTCGTACACCCCGCACCAAGCAGCTCACCCTGGAACTCTCAGGGCGCCAAGCCGAAACAAAAGTCTCACACTGCAGATCCCATGAGACGACTAACGGGGGGAACACCTCACCTGGACGAAACAGCGTGGCCGGCTCTGAGCCGAAACCCACCTTCAACTTCAACACCTGCTCCGCCAAAGAATAGCAAACAAGCAGCTGGAACCAAAACGGTTCCACCGACCCCGCTCCCAAGGACAAAGCGACCAGCCCAAGCCTCAAAACATTCAGACTCCGTGGGAATCCCACTGAAAAACAGATTTTCTGCACTCCAGCCTGAGCCTCTGAGTAAAAACCCACCCTCAAACATTAACAATGAGACAAAACCAACACATCCATCCCCCAAAGCTCCGAAGGAAAAAGTGACCACCAGGAAAACAAAAGGTATGCAAAGAGTGCTTATTGTTGGAGATGAGACAGTAAATGGAATCAGTCATGTTTGCAATCCCAAGAAAACCAGAGTGGTTTCTTTTCTTGGTGACACCGTATCTGATTTGACTCGCAAAGTGCTCTCTCTAACCACTGATCAGCCAAACATTGAGACTTTAGTTGTGCATGTTGGAGCCAACGATCTGGCAAAACAAAAATCGGAGATTCTGAAAAAGGACTTTAATATTTTTCTGGACACTATGGGAAATTAAAAATGAAGTTATTTCTCAGTGGTCCAATTCCATCGTCTCAATGGGGAGATGAAAAACATTCCAGGCTGGGCATGATAAACAAATGGCTGATTAAAACCTGCTCTACCAGCTCAGTGACCTCTGGATCTACTGGCAGCGCTTTCACCTCTAGGAAGAGGAGGACGCAGTCTGAACAAACATGGAATAAGGCTGCTCACTGCAAACATTTTTCATTTTATCAACAAGAACAACAATGTGACCATCGCTTCAGAAGAACAGGCTCAAGGATGTCTGACTAGGATGGAACCCTCCGCTTATCAGAAGCAAAGTGTACCAAAACAAACTGATAAAACATTGACTGGGGACAGAATGACTGGTTCCCCTCCTCCTTCCCCCCTCCCTCCTCCCTCCCCCCTCCATCTCTGCTCCTACACTCACTCACAAGATCAGAGTTTCCCAGGAAGTCCATCGCTAAAGAGAGTTGGGCTGTACCTGAACCGCCTGAAGATGCTGGTGGAGGATCCGGGTCAGAGAGGAAGGCGGACGGACTCCTCCTCCTCCCAGCAGGATGGAATGGATCAACAGGTTTGCCTCGGCACGACTCTTCTTAGCGCTAACATAGCAGACCTCACTTCATCTAAGCCACCTGCCTCTGACTTCCCAGAGGATCCATCACTCTACGCTTCTGAGGTCTGAGACCGGGGTCCAGACATTATCTTTACACCCGTCTTCCTCCAGAATGTGTCTGGCCCCCCGGCACCACAAAATAGGACATTACCTGTCCAGATCACTACAAGAAAAGTTACGAAAAACAGAAATACAAAAAGCAGCGGTTGTAGTGATTCAAACCTCAGACTGATCCCCTGCCTAAAGGAACCTCACACTGAAGAACTTTCAGCCTCCAAGTCGCTTAAACTAGCTCTTTTAAATACCAGATCTCTCTGTGCTAAAGCTCTATTAATTAATGATTTCATCACTGAGCATAATATTGATGTTGTGTTTCTGACAGAAACATGGTTGAATGACAATAATAAACCAATTGTACTAATTGAATCAGCGCCTCCTACGTACAATTTTTTAAGTGTGAATAGAAAACACAAAAAAGGAGGAGGTGTGGCTTCAATATTTAAGAATACCATAAACTGTAGTAAAATCTCTTTGGGTAATTTTATGTCTTTTGAGTGTCTTGGAATCGAGGTAAAAGACCACAAACGAACTTTGACACTAACTTTATACAAAACTCCAACATATGTGGAAAATTTCTTTACAGACTTGAATGAGCTTCTATCATTCTATCATTGATTATGATTGTTTAATAATTGTCGGTGATTTCAACATTCATATTGACAACCCCCAAGACCGAGGGGCAAAAAAGCTCTGTAATATATTAGAGAGTTTTGGTTTAACACAACATGTCAAACAAGCAACACACACTCATGGACACACACTGGATCTGTTTATCAGTAAGGGTGTGAATATTTCCAATGTTTCTGTAACTGATGTCGCCCTATCGGATCACTTTGCAGTTATCTTTGAATGTTCTTTATCCGTTAACCCACTTGTACAAATGCTACTATCACAAAACGTACTTTCACAGAAAACACAGCAGAAACATTTAATCAAATCTACTCTTCTTCCTCGTCCTTAATGACGTAGATAAGTTGGTAGATGATTTTCAGTGCAAACTTTCAGATATCATTGAATACATTGTCCCCATTAAAGTGAAGGTTGTGTCTGGTAGGAAGAAATCTCCATGGAGAAATGCACAAACAGTTCAGTCTGCAAGACAACTCTGCCGTAGGGCCGAACGGAAATGGCGTAAAACTCAACTGCACGTTTATTATGACATCTACAAAGAAAGACAACGTAACTATCACTCAACACTAAAACATGCAAGAGAGGCTTTCTTTGCAGATGTCATAAACAAAAACATTAACAACGCTCGAGCTTTATTTGCTACTGTTGACAGGCTCACAAACCCTCCTATGACGTTACCACCTGAACTTCAATCTAATGCCGCCTGCAACAAGTTTTCCAGTTTCTTCTCAGAGAAAATTCAAAAGATCAGAGGATTAATCTGCACATCCTCTACAAAGCCAGTACCAATGCTGTGCCCAAACAAAACAAATGCAGGAAAAATGACCCAATTTCAACTACTTCATTATAAAACCCTAG